CGCGGGCTATAGTACTAGAGCTATAGTACCACCACCAGCGGCAACTGTACGCGGGCTATAGTACTAGAGGCTAGAGCAACCCAGGGTAGGGCCAGGGGTCTTTTATTCTTTCCAATTTCATGTTGCGTTGGCCTCATATTCTCGCTCTGCGCTCACATCACAGCCAGGAACTTGAGGCGTTTTAATAATAAAAAGACGGTTGATAAACACAAATTGTATTCACCACAAAAGTTAATGTACTCTCTGTCGCCTAATAATTCAACGTAAACTAAATAGGGTACCTTTTAAATCAGGTTTCTCATGCACCACGCAATCTCACCACTCACCACGCGCACGCCCCTGTGACTGTGCAAAATCACGAGTCTGTGATTCCGTATTCACGGTATTGTAATTTGTATTACTATTAGTGCATGCGAGTATTTAAAAGTGAAATACACTCGTTATAACATTTATTACACTTTCTAGACAAACTACCTGTCTGAAATCTCAAGCAAGACAGCGGCGCGGCTGCGCGTCCTTAGTTACTGTGTCAATGAATGTCGGCGTTAACTGTTTAGCCGTTAGATGGGTACTGTGTGTCCCTACACATTCTGTATACGCATATAAGGCTCCGTATTTAGAGACAGAGAACAAGTCTATGTAGACGTTAGCGATACATTCGCATTATGACATGAGACATGTATAAATATATAGTACAGAAATAACACATTAATGACATTTGTGTGGTACTATTAATTTTAATTAATACATATTTTTGCGAAAAAGAAACAAAAGATAACATAGAATTTTCGTTTTCATACTAGATATTAACGGAAGCCCTAGGTGGCAGCACATAGCCCAGCATAGAGGCTCGCATTTTATACCAAAAACAGTTCTATTTCAATATATGTGCGTAAAACAGCTATGATCATTCCAATACGTTGCTTTACATGTGGAAAAGTTATAGGCAACAAGTGGGAGCATTACCTCGGTTTGCTACAAGCTGAATATACAGAAGGTAACACCGAACTCTAGCTACACTGACTAAATGCCATGTGATTGTGATTCCCGGCTTCCACTCTATTCTTCGCGCGCTTTCACATTGTGATTGGGATATCCCTGTGAAACTAGTGTGTATAGCTTTACTGTATACTAATTCCATATGTCTCTGTAGCCCCCACCCACAACCCCAACAACGACTTGTACTAAGTTGTAGTTAGTAGTGGCTAGTCACTGAGTAGTGCGCAAAACGGTGACTCACTACTTTGTTGTTAGTCCGAGCCGACGCAGACCCCAGTATAACCTGTATGATACAGGCGGTATGTTTCGCTTCACTACACTATATACCGCCTGTACGCGAGCTCAACCCTGGCGTTTCGCAAGCCTCGTTATCGATCAGGCAACTTGAATAACTGCAGAAATGACGTCAGGCAAAAGCCTGCTCGCTGATTGGCTGATTGGCCCGTTACAGCTCTCTGATTGGGCGCAATCATTTCTTGTTTCGCGAAACGGGCTGAAGAAGCAAGGGGTACGGGCGGTGAAGTGTAGTGAAGCGGAACCGGAACCGCCTGTATCACACAGGTTAACCCCAGTAATGACTAATGGGGTGTGCGGCCGTGTCTATCTTAATCACGGAAAGCCACTTCCAGTTTGGAGGTGGCACTTATAAGTAATACATGCGCTCGATATATACAATCCTATTGCGTGGAACTTACTAATCTGAACTTGAATCATTTATCTACGTGCATGCACGCTATGATGTCCTGGTAGCGGCTGTGCAACATAAGAATATATCAAGTTGTTAACCTAATGGTAAATATAAACATCCAAAGAAAATGTTCTGTCTTCATTCACATTTGTCAACCAATGAAAATCACTTCCGGTTACTTTGGCTATTCCCGATGTTCAACAGGAAAGATGGTAGGTACATGTGTAGTCCGCGAACTTGTACTAAGTTGTAGTTAGTAGTGGCTAGTCACTGAGTAGTGCGCAAAACGGTGACTCACAACGATTGCCTAAATAAATAAAAAAATAATAAAAAAATCACTACTTTGTTGTTAGTCCGAGCCGACGCAGACCCCAGTAATGACTAATGGGGTGTGCGGCCGTGTCTATCTCAATCACGGAAAGCCACCTCCAGTTTGGAGGTGGCACTTATAATATAAGTAATACATGCGCTCGATATATACAATCCTATTGCGTGGAACTTACTTTAATCTGAGTGTAATTTATCTACATGCATGCACGCTATGATGTCCTGGTAGCGGCCGTGCAACATAAGAATATATCAAGTTGTTAACCTAAAGTAATGGTAAATATAAACATCCAAATAAAATGTTCTGTCTTCATTCACATTTGTCAACCAATGAAAATCACTTCCGGTTACTTCGGCTATTCCCGATGTTCAACAGGAAAGATGGTAGGTACATGTGTAGTCCGCACCATCTATTATTATTTTGAATTATTATTTCCGAGTGAACCCGAGGCTACCGGAAGTGAATTTCATTGGTCGATCGAAAAATCTGTCCAATATAGCCAAAAATATCGAAGTTACTCTGACTAGGATGAATTATGGCATGAAAACAAAGTTCTGAAACGGAGATAAAGTCTTCGGAAAGCGATATTGACAAACAGAAGGTCTGTACTTGATATTTTGGGTCGGATATACTCCCGTCACGCCCTCAGTGCTACTCGATTCACCTATCCAATGCCCACAACAAAAATTGCAACAATTTTTACAAGGGTGACTGCAGACGATAAATCCGCACTCTCAGATTAGCAAAGCGGAGTTATAACGTCTGCATTTGCGGACTACTTTGTTGTTAGCCCGACCAGGCTGTGCGACGGTTTGTCTATACAACTTACAAGTGGGTATTCTAACTCTAGCAATACCGTTTCTTGGAGCTACTTTGTTGTCAGTAGAGTCTACTACAGCACTAGTACTAGTAGAAGTAGGGGTGTGAATAAAACCCGGACCCGGACCCGAACTCGGAAAACCTGCATAAAACCCGGACCCTAACCCTAACCCTAACACATTCTACTCCAGTCCGGTTATATATGCAGGTTTTCCGGGTCCGGGTCCGGGTTTTATTCACACACCACTAGTAGTAGTACTACTACTACTACTACTACTACTACTACTAGTTTAAGTTATACTATAGTATTAGTAGGGCCATTATAGTTTATGAGCTGTGCATGCAAGACTTCAGGTAGTGTGTTAGATCCTGCACACAACCTACATAACAAACTATGGCACTTGTTGACCTCTGACAAACCTTATTTTCCAAAGAAGTAGGAGGGCTTTAATGTTAGAGTAAAATATTAGGATAAAAAATGAATTAACTTGGTATTTTTATGCAATAACTCCACACCTGTATGCAAATTGCAGAGAGCAAGTTGCTATCATACTGGCAGAAATGATTTTAGGGAATGTGATCTATGATGTTGGTCACAAGAAAAATGAATGTGTGAAGTTAGTGTGTAAGAACACTAAATAAGCAAATTTTTACCCAAATGTTTTAGTCTACTGTGAGAGCCCTTCCATTTCTGCAGGAAATGCCAGGTATGTGGACATGGTATTATAGTTTATTAGGTAGGCTGTGTGCAGCATGCAACATACTACGTACCCAAGACTTTTGCACATGTATATGCACACACACACACACGCAAATTATGTTTCATACATAAAATATGATTACAAAAGACAATGACAAGCAGAAATGAAATTACCTAAATTCTTCTCCTATTACTTTGACCCATACATTTTCTATTCAAAAATTTCTGGATAACTGCATTTCTTTATTGAACCTGGTTAGGTTAGCCAACAGATGCAAACCACTTTATTCTTAAGCAGGGCATGAAATTCTGATTTTTTGCACCGGCCCAGAGGGCTTCATGGTAACAGCAGTTTTTGACCAGCCCTCAAAAATATTTTTTTTTCAAAAATATAGATAAGTCTGTTTCACTGACTCTTGCTTGTCCAGAAAATGTTGTAGTGTGCAGCATTGCGTAGTAGCTGTTGAACAGACTATAATACAGATCGTGAATGATGTCCGAAGTGTTTTTGCCAATGTCATGTTTCACGCTTGCATTCTCGATTCCAAATGTGTAAAATGTTGATAAATTATGGCGTGATATCCTTCAGGTAAAACATTGTAGGCTATTTGCTCGTTAATGCTATAAATAAAAATGTAGGTACTCGCTAACACGGCTGAACCCACTGGCTCGCAGGGCCGGTGTTTTGTCAATGTTACTGGCCCTTCAAGTTATTTGCCGGCATATGCTGGTGGGCCGGTGCTAATTTCGCGCCCTGTTAATAGGAGTGGGCTATACATGGGTCATTTTTTGTTTTGCTTAGGGCCGAGTTTTTGTGTGTTCCATTTTACCTGTCTCAACATGAAATGACAAAATTTTTGGTCTGGGGTCTAAGAAAAAAGTGTGCAGTGCCTACTTGTGTTTCCATACCTTATATTTGTGGCGGAAATGGAGTTTATCTCATATCTCAGGTTCTGCTTTGAGTAGACACTTCATATAAAAAGTTATTCTGGGGTTATTTAGGACACATAAAGTCATAAACATAATTAGAAAATCATAAAAGCAGAAATACTGGTCCAGAAATATATTTTGGGGTCAAATTTAACCACATAATTTCCATAGGAAACTAAAAAGGTTGCTGCGGATCTGACGCGATCTCTCTGCGTCCTCTCTTCTTTGCTTTTGAAGAGAGGGACTAGATAGTGGCACTTATTGTTGAGACCCTTCAGGAAGAGACTGCAGATAGCTGCCAATGACCCTAGCTGGACTGTTGTACATCCCTGGGAGCAGATTGATGCTCTGATGACAGATGCTGTGAGCAAAAATCTCAAGATAAAGACAGGTGTTGCAGAACTACTTGGCTCAAAGCATGTGCCACACCACTTGCTTTGTAAGTCGCATACATGTGAACGGTCTGATGTAGACAACCTCACGACCATGGCTGCCATTGAGGACAAGATTGGCCTTCGCAAACTGATTGGGCAGAGAGCCAGCGTTGAAGTCATTTTTTCGGCAAAGTAAATGATAAATCTGTTGTTGTAACTGCTCTTCTAAAGCTCGTATCACACGAGGGAGATGGGAAGACAACATCACTAGTAGAACAGTTTGACTTGATGCTAGAGGAGGCTGTGGTACACTAGTCGTTTAGCCTCTACAAAGAGAAACGTTTTAATAGACTCGGATACCAGGCAGGTGCGGTCTATGATTGCATTCCTAACCTCAAACAACTACTTTTGCAGACACCGCTAAATAATCTTCTTGTTCGAGCATGTAAGATTTACCTTGAGAACGATTTCATAATAGCAGGATTCAAAGCACTTGCTAATTTTTCGTACATGGTCACAATGCCCTTCCTCAACTGCGTCGAGAGAGCAAGCCAGGATTTGCTGGTTAACATTCTTCCCAAGCTCTGCAGTACCCTTGCTGATAAAAAGACAGACACCT